AGTTTGCTGCCTTTTAACATTTTTTTTTTCTTTTTTTGTGAGCCGGCCCCCGAGCCACACGGGCCGGTTCGGGCTCAGCCCGAGCTTAGGCTCGATTTGACCGAGCCTCGAGCCGAGCCGGCTCGAGCTTTTTCCAGGCATAGCTACGAGTGGCCCGAACCGACGAGCTCAATTGTCATCCCTAACCCACAACCACCATCACCATCACCATAACCATAACCATAACCATCATCAACCACCACTGCTAGATCCACAATGCAAGTCAGCACCTCCACTTACATCACCAACAAAAAACCATCCCAAACCTTCCAACAACATCTAAATATGGAAACCACCTCCACCACTTCCCCAGCAACCAGAATTAGAGGAAATAACAACACAAAACCTTAAAACCAGGGCCACTGCATCCCACCCTGCACCACCACCATCATCACATACACTTAAACTCTGACTAAGCAGGTTGGAGGAAGAGCCACCTCAAAACCCTAGCTGCAATACCCCACCTCTACTCATCAAACCACCACTACCACAACGAGTATCATCGTACACACCATACCACATACATCATCGCTTACACAGATCCGCACAAGCCACTGCATACCGTGCCCTGACCACATGCCACCATACACGATGCACCATCGCACACCATAGACACCATACAAGTCAATCCCCAAGTATTCACTCATGAGCTTGTATCTTTTTTGTAGGTTACACTATAACTATTTTCCAAGACATACAGAGAGAAAGCACTGCTATCGAAAGAGATTAGAGAGAACGCGTCGTTGAGAAGCTGGAGAGGGGGAGAAGAGAGTGAAATGATTTTTAGGGTTTGGGAAGAAATTAATTGGGGTTGGGGTAGATTATTTTAATTTTATAATATTATTATTAATATTTAAAATTTCAATTATCTAGTGTTTGAAAAAAAATCTTGTAAATCTTAATTTTGAATTGGAGAGTTTAAAACTCTGGTTGTATGTAATTTCCACATAATAATAATAATAATAGAAAAGACTTGCTCGAAGAAACCACATCGCCAAGCCCAACATTACACAGTCTTTCTTTTGGTCCAACCTAAAATTATATGAGGAAATTAGGCCCATTACGTTCAAAAAACAATAAATTAGAATAATACATTTACAAATAATTAAAATCTTTTAACTAGTAAATAATACGTTTAAAACACGCCAAAATCTCAAACCCCGAAATCATCTCAGAATCATCCAACTTGTAGAGAACTCCAAAATTCTTGCTAAGAAACTCACCTACGAGCTACTACAACCAACAAACCCCAAAATCTCAAAATCCCCAAATCAAAACCCATGAAATCAGAAACTTTGGTGATTGTGCTTCTGAAGTTTATTGATGAAGAGATCAATGGAAAAAATTCCTCTTGTTGGTCTCATCAGGTTTGTTCACTTCACGTTTATTGAAGAAAATTTCACATCTAATAACACTTGAAATGAAAAACGTGATGTAGAGAAAAAGTTAACCGATTTTTTCTTGTAAAAATGCGTTCAATTGGAGCTATTTTGATCTGTGTAATACTTGACCATTTTCTCTAGTGGGTAGACTTTGCGTCTTAATAAAAAAGTGAAACTTTTTTTTATTGTTTGTTACTTTTTTTTTTCTCTTAATTGTTACTCTTTTTGAGTTTCTGTCACTTCTTTGAGTGACAGACATAAGTTTTTAATAAAAATGACATAATAAAAAAGCAACACTCAACTTTACAAAGTGACGTTTAGGATTGGTGTGTAGCTTATGTTCTGGTCAATAGTTGACAAGTTTACAAAGTGACGTTTAGTATTGTTGTGTAGATTATGTTCTGGTCAATACTTGACAATTTTCTCAAGTGGGTAGATCGTGTGTCACTTTTTAATAAAAAGTGGCACCGTTGATTTTTTAGTCACTTTTTTTAATGTTTGATATTTTTAATTTTTTTTTCACTTTTTTATTAATTTTTGTTTCTTTTTAATGTATGTGTCACTTTTTTGAATTTATATAATTTTTTTAGTATTTGTTAACTTTTTTTTATTGTCTGTTACTTTTTTGAGTGACAAACGTTAATTTTTGTCACTTTTTACTAACAAATGACATTAAACTTTATAAAATATTTTATATTTCAATATATACTTTTTATATGATTTTTTACAATACACCTAATTATAGGGGTATTTTTGTGAATTGCCCAAATTATATACGGTTGTCTATTGCCACATTTTGGTCAAGGTAGTGGGTTAGACCGTGGTTAATTACAATTGTAAGCCCACTATGGACCTGTTTGAAGTGCCCACTAGTGAAGTCCACGAAATTTTGGGCCCATGATGATTCTAAGTAGGGGTGAACGCAGTTCGATATTGATGGTTTATGTTATATTTTTAACTCAAACCATTTTATGCAGTTTGAAAATTTTCCAAATCAAACTAAATCATTTTATTTTTTGAACCAAACCATAATGTACAGTTTAGTTCGATTTTAATTCCCAATTTACTTATTGACATTATAGTAATATATTTAAAATAAGTTTAAACGATAATTAATAATGTAAAATGTCAAATTATATTCATATTTACCATGGAACCCATAAACAAATTATTTTCAAAATTGGTTGCTAAAAAATGTCACTAGAACAAATACATATTTCTTCATTTTTATTTATCTTTTCTTGGTTAACATTCATATTGTCATATAGCAGTTGGAGAGGTAGAGTTACATTCCATTATTATAATTTAGTCAAAACTCCTTTCGGCTTGCTAGCGAGATGTTAAATAAGGGTTGAATGAGATATGTTCATATGTACAAAGATTGATAGAGTTTCGACGTATTGAGAATTAACAAATTTCATTTTCTAACTATTTTATAAAAGTAGAAAGTAATAATACTAGTTAGGGAATTTTAGCATTTTCACACAATCAGTATGCTTCATTCTTCATTCTTTCCAAAACACGAACAAGTTCATTAATCATCTAGGCACACAAAATGTCATTTTTCTATTCAAACAACAACTCACATGTGTATAATAATTTCAAAAACAACAAATTAAATAAGAACAATGGAAAAATGACTTGAATGAAAATCTGAGACCTACTAAATGAAAAGAGAGAAATAGGGGATTCATGTAGAAATTAATAGACTAATAGGCAAATGCGACTGGCGATTCGTTCAATAGTGGCATACAAGCATCAAAATATTAAGGAAATAAGAGTTTATGTTAGGACTTTTGAAACTTTGGACGTGATTCGATGACATAGTTTTGTTGAATTATGATTTGGATTGTTAAAAATATATGTTTTTTTTTAATTTTTCATATGATTTTGGAATAATTTTAGTTTAGTTTAGATATCAGGTGAAGATATGCGTCTTGAACTTGTAAAACCATAGGGTACTAATGATGAGCCTAATTTACTTTTCATGATTATTTCAATAGGCTAGTTGTAAAATTTTTAAGTTAATGAAATTAATGTTTTAATTAAAAAAAATTTAAAACGGTCCGGTTCGATTTTGTTCGATTTTTGAAAATCAAAACCTAAACCAAACCATTTTGAAACGGCTCAATACCCACATATTTCATGGGGTTTATATTTCAACAACTTTTATCAAAACTTTGATTTCCGGCTATACCCAATAGAGGCTAAATTATGTTCTTGAAAGAAGAAATGAAGTACAGAACAATCTAGAAGAGCCAAAACTTTTGTTGAAAATGTAGAAAACTCATGTTTGCAGGGGCGAATTCAGGGTCCAGTATCAGGTAGGGCGGAACTGATGACCATTGACAATCAAAGATAATAATTGCTAGTTTATTTAGTAATATATAATTAAATAATACTAAAAATTCTTCATTTTTTATATAAATACACCAAAACATAAAAATTATATAAATAAGAAAATATAATTCAATACAAGTCAAAGTACTAAAAAAATACAAGATACAACCTTACTCTATAAATGTGAACTTAGACAACTGCATTATACGAGATTTCATATTTTGAAAAGTTAAAAGAGTTATCTTTCCATTGCAATCAGATTTGTATATTTTGAAGATAACTAAGACAACTTTAGTAAATTAATAAATTGATGAAGTATCTATTAAGCTCCGATATCAAGTTATTGAATTTTAGACACCAAGAAAATATAATTTTATTGATGAAATGAATTTTACACAACTTGAACACAAACTCACAATTATTTTATTTGTAGAACACCACTCCCACATTTAATTCTCACTATCTTAATTCACTTTAATTTTACAGATTCTCTCCACTTACTCTCTCAAACCCTCTCCACTAACATTACTTCCTCAGCTTCTTTCCATGATCCACTCTCTATCTCTCCTCACTTTTCTTCTTGCTCTCTTCACACTTCCACACGCTTTCACACTCACACAAAATACAAGTGGCAAGGATATATATAGATGTTAAATGTCGGCGGCCGATTCTTCTACCTAATTGTAGTATGTTGGTGAAGGTGGATGTTTTTTTTTTTTTTTTTTTTTAAAAGGCCCAACTCTCAGAGTCTCAGCCTAAACAATATGGCCAAAAATACCCAAAATTTTTATTCATCTTCTTCCTAGGTTCCTTCCCTTTTTCAATTCTTTCGGCTCTGCAACTTCCACCCGACGATCCCGACGGCTATTGAGCCAACACGTGCGATCGCGCCCCCTCGTCGAGTGCTAGCTCCGCGCTTTCATATGAGTAATATTAGATAAAAGATATGGATTAAAATAAATGTACCTTTAGCAATAATATGTTATGAAATATTAATAATTCTTATTCACTCGGGTTTTTTTTTTTTTGTTCATAATCCTATGTAGGAGAGATGGTCGAATCGTTGTATGCTTTTGTTTACCCTCGTGAGTCGTGATGATAAAAACGAGTCATCTTATTGGCAAAGTAGTTAAGACTACAAATTTTCTATACCTAAATGTCAAATGAAACAAAAGTATAAGGACTACTAGTACAATTTACTAAAAACAGTAAAAAAAGGAAAAACATTTATTATTCGAAGAAGGATCCGTGTACGTATAAAATCTCCCATTTTAAGCATTTCTGTAACAAAATATTCGGTCTCCCAAGGGCAGCCTTCAACAAGATCTGCCCCTTCTCTTCTTCCCAAATCAGTCTACTTTTTTGATTTTTTGATCACGTAAGAAATCAAAATTAATCGTCCAGTTTCATATATTTTGCTTCTATATGATCTATATATGCGTATATATGTGCGGGAAATTGTAGATCTGGATCTGTTTAGTTTTTGTTGGATTTGTGTACTGGATCTGCTTTCTTTCTGTTCGAATTTACGTTGTAATTCTTTGATTTACTTTTATATGACTGAAATTTGATTTGATTTGATTAATCAGTTTTGTAATTTGATATTGTGTTTGTTCTTTTGAAGTGTCACGTCATTTTAAGTCGTTATTTGTTATAATTTTTAGTCTAAACGGAAATGAAATAATTGATAAAATAGTAAATGTTTATGTTTTTTTTGTCAAATGCCTTGTTTTAACGAAAGTTTTGTGGATCTTCTATATTAATAAAGTATTTGGTTGCATTTTATATTTACGAATTGAATCTCTAAAGTTGATTGAATCAACTTCCTGAGTAAGTCAGCTTTAGCTCTCATATGTTTTATTTTTGACAAAAAATGAATAATAAGATGCAAAGTTCAAATTTTTATGCGTGGAAAAGCGAAAATAAGAAGCAAATTTATGAGGGACGCTCATATCTAGTCAATATCTGATAGATCCTCAATTCAGTATATACACGGATAAGCTTGTTCTGTGCTTGAATACGGAATACTATTGGTTGATCCTTGCATTCTATAACCATGATTGTGAAATTCTATGCTGCTATCCTGAGATTGAGAACTATAACACGTCTCATCAAATAATTATTTTCTTGTATTTTTAAAAATTAAATTTGTTGGCCTCTTGTTGAAATCCTTATCCCCATAAGAAACATTGGGGATGAATGGCTTTTATCTGGAGGCCTTGCAGTCATTCGGCAATTTGGAAGTGGTCTATTCTTCCATTGTTGCTCATTTTTGGATTATGTTCACATTCTTTTTAGAGCTCTTGTGAATTTCCTGAATTTGAGACTAAGAAACTTAGAAAACTTAACCTGCATTGATAGATTGCCAATGCTAGTTGGATTCTTTTATAGAATGCATTGTCAATCTGGATTTCACTTTTGGGTGTAACAGGAAAGCAAAATGGGGTTGTCTTTTACCAAGCTTTTCAGCCGTCTGTTCGCCAAGAAAGAGATGCGGATTCTTATGGTGGGTCTTGATGCTGCTGGTAAGACCACCATATTATACAAGCTCAAGCTGGGAGAAATAGTTACAACCATTCCTACAATTGGTATGTCCCCTTGTATACATATCCTTTAAGTGTGATCCCATATTAATTTGTCCGACACTTAGTTTAAAAAGAACAATATGTAGCTTCTTTTTTTAAACCTATGTAATCCATATTGGTGGATCAACTTCAAATATGGGATTAAAGGATGTTTATGGGAGAACTGCTTTCTTGGATAATTGAGAGAGAAAGAGTAGAAGAGCAATGGCAAAGAAGATATGTCGCTTGCTTTTCTTATAGCTTGTCTATGTACATTTTCATTTCTCTCTGTTCCAGCTAGTGATTTGGAATGTTAGTGCAACTATATATAAATCCTGATGTGAAAAAGGTTGATAAGATTCTACCCCACCCAAAAAGTAGACAAATAAATGAAAGGGGAAAAAACATACCTCCATGCATGTGCCTGAAGGTCAACATCTATGCTACTGATGGTTGTAGTGCGTTGGTAGACTGTGAGTTTATGATTTATTTTTGAGACCAATACACCAATTTTAAGCTGTCAATTTCATTAATTACTTGTGATCTTGTTTATTAGTTTCGACAGATATCAACTTGTTATATGTTTGACATAAAGGTTCTAGGCATGCTATTATATGTGTGCTCTCAATCACACGTAGGCACAATATTCGACCACCCCTTCTTAGTTAAGGAACTTATTTTTATTTCTCTCCAGGATTCAATGTGGAGACAGTGGAATACAAGAATATCAGCTTCACCGTCTGGGATGTTGGGGGTCAAGACAAGGTATAAGATTTTAAGTAAAATTTTTATTTTTATTTTTATTTTTATTTTTATTTTTATTTTTATTTTTATTTATTTATTTTTTTTTTTTTTTTCGGAATATGCTAATATAGTAGGGTGCCAGTTGGCTTGTAAAAAAGTCAAGTGGCTTCCATTGCTAAAATGTTGCCGCAAGTAATAGGAAGAACATTGTCTACTAGTGTGATCAAAGTCATGTTATTGAATCCTGCACATACTAAATGCTTGTGTTTGACTGTATTTCTGTCAAAGTATGCATTTGTATAAATGTGTTTCTTGACATGCTTTCCTTAATAATTAAGAAATACAACATACATTGCCAATTATGGTTGATTCTGATCAAAAGTCTAATGTTTCTTTATATTTGTAAGCTACCATCTGATCCACTGCGATTTTGCCATTGATGTAGATCCGACCATTGTGGAGGCATTACTTTCAGAACACTCAAGGGCTGATCTTTGTTGTTGATAGTAATGATCGTGATCGTGTTGTTGAGGCTAGGGACGAACTGCATAGGATGTTGAATGAGGTAATCAAACTAATTTACAATATCTACCTGTCTTTATGTAGGACCCTTCTGAACATTCTAGTTGGAAATTTAATATGATACCTGCCACGTTTTAATTTCATTGCAATTGACATGACTCATTTGATTTAGGTCAAGTTTTTAAGATTCTGCTTACCTCTATGTTGCTCCTACACTATTAATTTCTAAAAAAATTATAAGTTCATAATGCATATCCATGTACTATCTGAGTTTTGGATTCTTTTTAACCATATCCCCATATCCTAGATTTTAGAAAAAAGGAATCCGATTCTGGGATATGTACTTGTATTAGACAACCGCACCCGAGTCCAAGCGACATAGGTGTGCAGTAGGTGGCCAAAAGTTTTTATAGAAAGTTGTCTCTGTGCATCAACATTTATCTCTTGTATCTCGACTACTGATCACTTGTGCATTCTCACAGGTATATCCAGAGCACATGTGCCACCTCTGGGGAAGGGCTTTATGAGGGTCTGGACTGGCTCTCCAACAACATCGCCAACAAGGTATGATCTTTGTGATAGCCTGCACAAGCTGATTGTACTGGCTTATATTTCATTGACATATTACTAATAGCACGTTCTTGCATTTCTTTTTTGTTATGCCAGGCATAAAGGAGACAATATTTGATGACTATGATCGCTCGACTCTTGTCAAAGAGGAGATTGTCTTTTTTCCGGGTCTTTTTTATCTAGTCAACTTGAGTATTCCGTACTTTGATCAGTTTATTGTTTTCTTAGATATTTTGTCATTTCTGTCGTGTAGGTTTATGTTCAAATCATGTGATTTTAGCATTCCTGAATACGCTATGTACCTTTTTGGATTGATTAATTTTGAAAATGGCGCTCTTCTGCTCAGCGAATGAATTGGAAAATAGTACATTTTAAATTTCACAAGCCCATTTGATCAAAGCTATTATAATCAAGGTGTATATTATATTAGCAGGGAATCTTCACTCGAAAGCTCAATTAAATAATTGTAAGTGTTGAGCTTGGCCTCAAAGAGTTGGTGGAGAGACTGATAGATGTCTCGAAGATTTTCTCTTGGGATCTTGAATTAAAATTGAACTCTTGACACGATTAAAGCTCGATCGAGTCATGGTCTTACACTCGTGGCCATGCGATATGGTCTCAAGGTGATATAAAAAAAGACGTGGTCTAGGCCTGGGGTTTCCAGATTGTTAGATAATCAGATTTTCCATACAAGGGATTGTTAATAGGTTAATCTTTTACGATGGAACTCCTATTTCCAACGGAACACTAATACATTGCAGGTTAATATGGGTGTGGTGTGCATTTAGGATTATATGGGTGTGCCAGTGGAAGCTCAAAGATGGTCTTTTGCCAGCTATAGGTCGGATTCCAGCTCCAAATTTTCTTTCCAAGTTTTGTTTTAACTCCGAATGCTTTGATTTTATTTGATATTGTTCTATTGATGAGGGAAGTGAACGGTAGCTCACGGGAATAAGACATCCCATGATCTTGCTACCCTAGTGGTGTAATCATTTTTGTGGATTGTATTTCGTGGTTTATTGTATTAGAACATTTATAAGAGACTCTTTATTTTTAAAAAGGCGTATTTTATCATTTGAAGAGTATCTATAAATTTAGAGCTAAAATTTTGAAGTATTATAACTAGCTCTTTTTATTTAATGCCTAATTTTACTATTCTCAAAAAATATTTACTATTTTTCTCTATTATTTATTTTAACTAGCTTTTCTCTAAATTATTTTATTATTTTCCAACATTGAAAATTGTTTGGAGTGAAATCCAATCTTTAAATTAAAATGTTAATTTAAAGAGACTCCTGAAGCATGACTTTAAATGTTGATCCTTTAAAATAGAGAGCATATCATATTTAAATAATCTTTTGAAGATGGCCAATCCTCAAGACCATTGAAGATATGTGTGGCGTAGACAATCGAAGCCCCTCGTTCATCGCATTCCTTCTTTAGAAATTTTAAAAGGTCTGCCCTTGCAAGCACGTCTAGGTCAACGGTGATCTCATCAAGCAGAAGAACCTTGACCACAGGAGGCATAAAGTGAAACATTTTATTTGTAAAACAATTCAATGAAGAAGGTAAATGTTACTAACTTATATATACCTTGAATGGCTTTAAAAGACCCATACATATTTGAACTCTCCTCCTTTGACCATCGGATACTTGATGCATTCTCCAAGATAGGTCAACATCTCAAACCTACATCAACAGATCACAACAGAAAAAATCACTTATCTGCACTACTTTCCAACGCGAGAAAAAATGAATCAATTATCCTCTTACAACGAACGACAAAAAACCTCGTGCTCGACTCTATGCTAGGCAAAGTCATCTCTTGGTGTATGAGCAGGTTCTTATTTCTGCCTCTAGAATTCTGATATTGAACCACTCTTCAAGCACTAGTTCGGGCGTCATTTGTCTCCAATCTTGTTTTATATTGACTCAAATTTTTCAGTTGGTTCGTTTTGTGTTTTGCTTGTGGCAATAAAAGAAGAATCCGAACTTAACACTCTTTTACTTAAAGCTGTCTGAAGCAAACTTGAAGTTATATATTTTCTTCAAATTGTTTCCTTCATAAATTTTTTTACATCCATTTTTCTCAATTTTAATTTTGTTGCATGCAGGTCCACATTAATTTCCTAACAACAATCACAGTGTCGCTGGTCAATTAGGTTGATCAGGATGGTTTGGTAAAACTCCTCTATAAGGTCCTTCCAATAAGGGAAGTTAGTTGCATCTTTCTGAAAAAATAAACAACCATAATTCCAAAATTAAGTCAAAACTTTTAAAGTTTTGAGTATGCAAAATAAATTTTCGTGCTTACTTCATACCTTTATCAGTTCATCTCGCCTTTATGAATTGACACCTGCAACTCCATATATCATTTTCTCAGCAGAAACATCCATCTGGATTGCAACCTCAAACCCAGCAAAAGCAACTTCTCGTCTCCACTGGAAATACACAAGTTTGCATTTGTCAACAACTATTATTCAAAATTATTTAACAACAGAATTTAGATTTTGAAATCATATAAATATCACTCAACAAGTATGCAGAAAATCTACAAAGAACTTCCCAAACCAAAACCAAAAGATAATTACTCGAAATAGTCTAATCCAGGATGACTAACGTTGACTAAATCATTTTTCCTTACTCCAGCTAAATAGCTAAGATAAGTTTTCATTAGAAACCAGTAAAATATTTATTAGCACAGTAATAACACATATTCCCAGAATACAGAATACTGAGTTTCCAACAAAATTAAGTTACAAGGCTCCGCGTTACTTCAATTTAAACTTCAAAATTCAATTCAATACTTGGCAAAATTCATGATTTTGTAGTATGTATTCAATTTCACTATGAACACACCTTGCCACCAAGATAACAGAGGTAACCAGAAACTGTCAATGCGGTGTCGTGAAATGCAGATCTTCCCAGCACCTTCACCATATCTGGCTCCACCATATGCTTCCCACCAAGTATTTTCAGTATTGTAGTTTTCCCTACAAACCCATGAACAGTTAAACCAATCCCATTACTCCGAATTCACCAAACTATATGAAATCCGCAAAGGTAAAACGTAATAATCCTTTCAATCCCAGAAATGATTAAACCAAACCCATTTCCTCTAAATTCAACAAACTACATTAAATTAAAGGGAAAAAACCATACTTTTCCCTACTATCCCACAAACAATCAAGCCAAACCCATTACTCCAAATTCATCAAACTACAAGAAATCAGCAAAGATAAACTGTAGTTTTCCTTACAATCCCGAAGATAATTAAACCTAACCCATTCCTCTAAATTCACTGAGCTACAAGAAAAATAAAAATAAAAAGAAAGGTAATTTCCTTACAATCCCAGAAATAATTAAACCACACCCATTGCTCAAAATACATCAAACTACAAGAAATCAGCAAAAATAGACCGTAGTTTGCCTGCAATCCAGTAATAATCAAACCAAACGTATTCCTTTAAATTCAACAAACTACAAGAAATTAGAAAACAAAACGTAGTTTCTTTAACATTCCCAGAAAAATTGAACCAAACCCATTACTCCAAATTCACCAAACTTCAAGAAATCAATAAAAGAAAAAAAACCTTTAAAAAATGAGCGGAAAAGGGAAAAACCTGCGCCATTGGATCTAACAAGAAGGCAGCGATCTCTGGGATTGATAGTAAGACTGAAATCATCGATCAGAGGGGCGGACCCAGGAGGAGGATGGCCATCAATTCCAGGGTAGGTGAACTTCAACTTGTTCATCTCCACTATCGGTTGGGGTTTCTCCTCCTTCATCGGCATTTTTCCTTCTCTTTTGACGATGATCGTAAATTTCGTGGGAATTTATGAGCTGAATTTGGTAGTTAAAACTCATTTATCCGAGAAAAACATTTTAATGAATGTTTTTGGAAAAATGGTTATGAAATAGGTCAACTTTAATCTCAAATTTTAGTATGATCCACCTTTTTATTAATACGGGACCTATTATATTCACGTTCTACTCCGTGAGATGATTAACGTGATATATTTATTTGTCCAAAACTATTTAAAAATGAATTAAATATTAAGTGTTAAAGTAACCCACATAAACTAAGTATTATGGAAGAATTTGATTTTCCAAACACTCATCCCAACATAGTAAAGTTACGAAACTTTGATGTGATTTATAAGGTGGAAGTTTGGAATTGGGTTTGGACCCTAAGGGGTACAAATAGTCTTTAGAAGGGGGAAGATCTATATCCTATTGGGTTCGGTCATAAACCCACAAGCGCGCGCCGCCGCCGTCCGACCAGCCGGCACGAGCACGTGTTCGGGTTGGTTTCTTGGACAAAATTTAAATAATCAAATTCTTGGGTGCATTGTCGTCTGTTTATAGACTTAACAGACGCGACTTTTAAAACAGCATGTCTGTTCGGATTTTTGAGGTTGATGACTGTTCGAATGGCCACGAACAAGTCTATAAATAGCCCGCCTCTCTATCAGAAAATTTACACCATTTTCATTGCAAACTTTCTGTGCTTTGAATCTCATTCCCTCTCTCTCGTTCTGATATTGTCTCGAAGTAAAACACACTTCGTTGAGTTCGTTGCAACTCCTGCAGATTGCAGTGCTGCTTTCGTAGAAGACGAAAATTTGTTCTATCCTAGGAAACGATTGCTGGATGCTTTTAGCACCATTGAAGACAGCAAATTCATTTTAAGAAAACATCGTGAAGTCAGTGGGCTCAAATTACTTTTTTTTTATCCTGTTGATCATTTCTTTACATTCAAGTGATTTTGACGGATTGGTTTCAAAGAAATAACGTCAAACTCTAGAAACAACAATCTTAAAACGAATTTCTATTATTATTTTGTTTCTGTTTCTACTCCTTCTTACTGTTGATCTTCTGATTGTGTTTCAGAAATGGCAACTTCTGGTACCACACTCCCGAATACGACCGAGGAAAAATCAGAAAAGTTTAATGGGTCAGATTTCAAGCGTTGGCAACAAAAAATATTTTTTTATCTGACAATATTAAATCTGGCTAAATTTCTCATAGAAGACGCGCTTTCATATACCGAGCAAGACAGTGATGCTGAAAAATTGGCTACGGTTGATGCATGGAAGCATTCTGATTTCTTGTGCAGAAATTATATACTCAATGTACTGGATAACACATTATATAATGTGCACTGCGATACTAAGTCCGCAAAAGAACTGTAGGAATCTTTGGACACAAAGTACAAAATCGAAGATGCTGGCGCGAAAAAATTCATTGTCGATCTTTTTTGGACTATAAAATAGTTGACAACAAGACTGTCATATCTCAAGTTCAAGAACTTCAAATCATACTTAGCGACATCCATGCTAAA